ACAAATTGCCTTCTTCCTATTGTTTCCTTTTTCTTGTTGTACAGCACACTTATACACTGAAATGTTTGGTCAGAGTATCCCTTGGACTCTTTTAAGATTATTAACCCAGGCTGGGAAGGTTGCTTACTGGCTTGCGTAGCGTGCACTAAGCCCTGAGTTCTATTCCTCAGTACCACATAAACAGAAAAAGTGAGAAGTGGTGCTGTGGCTCAAGTGGTAGAGTGCTAACCTTGAGCAAAAGAAGCTCAAGGACAAGTGCCCAAGTCCTGAGTTCAAGCTCCAGGACTGCCAAATAAATAAATCCTAAATAAAAAGATTATTAACCCTAAGGATCTTTGTCTGTCTTGGCTATATCTATAGAAAGTTTCCATATCAGAAATAATATTGGGCTGGGAAGGTGGCTCAGTGGTAGCAGGGGGGGAAAAAAGCCGGAAGTGGTGCTATGTTTCAAATGGTAGAGTGCTAGCCTTGACCTGAAGAGCTGAGGGACAGTGCCCAGGCCCAGAGTTCAGGCCCCATGCACGACTGGACCCCTCCCCCCCAAAAAAAAAATATTTACAGAATGAGCAGATGCAAGTTGTTTTCAGTGATATCACATATCTGCAAATCTCCACTGTAAACTCATAGAATGAATGGGAAAGGAGATTCTTGGAATTATTATGGGAAGTTTTTACTTTTTAGATCTTGCTGAGGCATCTCCAAACTAATATTTTAAGAACCCTTGGACTAAACTTGCCTGTGGCTACCAGATTTATAAAGCACTTGTAGCTCTGTTTATTTATTGAATGTATGTTCTTAAGTGCTTTCACTTTCTGGTGCTCACAGACTGAAGTGTTTTCAGGAGGTGAGAGACATTTCAATGTTGACAACAACCATTTCAAGCCCCAAAAGTTGATCATAATTCTGCCATTAATAAAAGTTAGGGATGCTTGTTTGTTCTGCTGGAGCCTGGTGTGCCTGACAAATTTGTATCTGATGAGACTGAATTCCTGTGTCTTGTTTTATAATTATAACCTGGTGGCTTCCCCGGAGGCATCTTCTTTTTAATAAGGATTTGTTTTGCAGTTCTGGGCTTTTGCTTCCTAGGCAGGTAGGTACTCTAGCACTTCAACCACAACCCCAGCCCAGCATCCTTTTTTAAAAACCCTTTCTAGAAATGAAGGAGGAAAGGTGGCCTCTGCATAATAATGCTACTGTTGCTATTAGACAGCAAAATGTGCTTTTTATGTGCCATAGGCAAAAGATTTGTGTCTCCACTTTCCAGGGCAGACTTCTTGGTTTCTTGAGTGAGGTAAATCTTTCCAGTTGCCTCCCAGTGTCTGAACAACTGTGGAAGACACATTGGCCGCTGGTGAAGTAGTAGTTTGAATGTATTTTTACCAGTAATTATTTTACTGCCTATCTACATGTACTGTAACAGGAGTTGAGTGAACTTTACATGATTTGATCTTGGCTTAGCCCAGTTAAATGTAGCTCGTTCTCCTTCCCAGTAATTTACCTAGGCTCAGTAGCACGGCCTCGAGAGTTGAAAGGCTGTCTTCACTTCAAATCCGATACTCTTTTTACACTAAACTTTTTCTCCCTGTCCCCTGTGAAGATGACAGAAGGGAACAGGTGGGAGAAAGGAGATGGCTTGAACTGTTACGTTTAATAGTTGCAGTCAGATTTGGGAGGATAGTACTTTCTAGTACAGAGCACAGTGGTTCAAATCAGGCATGTAAACTTGTGAGAAGGGTAACCTAGAATTGGATTGACACCCAGTATGGTTGTCCAGTGGCTCATTGTTAAAGTTGAACTGGGGATTTGAGATATTGAAGACAAATGTTTTTGTGGAAGAGGGAAATACTATTTAGTAGAAAAAGAATTGCATATCTAAAGAATTAATACCCCCAAAGTTATGATCTCAGTCAAGTTAAGAGACAGTTGAGTTTTTAAATACCCAGTTTGTAATGGTAGCTGGCTTAAATAAAATCATGAGGACTTTCCTCTCCAGGTCTGGCTTCAAATCATGATTCTCAGATCTCAGCCTCCTGAGTAGCTACCATACTCAGATTTGCTTGATGGTCCCAGGGTAGCATAAGTAGCATTACTTTGTCAAGTGTCTTGAAACGATGCGAGGCTCTCGGACTCAACTTGGTTTGGCCATTCTGGGGCCAGTCTCTCAGTTAATTAACTGAATCTAAAATTACATTCTTTTTACACCTGAGTGTTTAAAGTGTAGCTGTCTGATTTTCCTCTTTAAACTGCTTGGTAGTCTGTGTCGATAGCCTATCTGTTTGTTTACCCAGTGAATGTTTTACTAAATTTACTGTGTTTCTTAGTGATCATTCATTGTCTTTTTCTATGTTGGCCAGATCGTACTTCCTTTATTCTTCCTCTTGAGTGGGGCAGAATGTGTTGGAATAGCTGCTGTTAAAAGAGTAGAAAAAGTGAGATTCTCTGGGTTTGGAGCCAAGGCCCTAGACTCAGTTCATTTCTTCTTTTCCTGGGCGCTTTGATATCTGTGAGCAGCTCCCTACCTCAGTGATATGGAAGTGATGTACTGTTTATTCTGGTAAAACCGTACCATATCCCTGAACTGGTACTGCAGCCCCAGGCTACCTTGAAGCTGTGAAATGGTTAGTAAGCATCTGTCTCTCTCTGCATCCCTTGTCTTGCACCGGGAGATTGTTTTCATATTTCTCATTTGCTAAATTTTGTGAGAATTTTTAAGGAAGTTTGGTTGTTTTCTTTGTCTTAGAATTCTTTATTTTGTTGGTTTTGTTTGGTGGTGGTGGTGGTGGTGGTGGTTTTGTCAGGTGTGGGGCCTTGGCACTGTCCCTAAGCCTCTTTGTGCTTAGGCTAGCACTCTACCCCTTTAAGCCGCAGCACCACTTCCAGTTTTCTGGTGGTTAATTGCAGATGAGTTTCTCCCGGACTTTTTGGCCCAGGCTTCAAACTGCGATCCTCAGATCTCAGCCTCCTGAGTGGCTAGGATTATAAATGGGAGCCACCAGCTCCCAGCTATTGTTGCTTTGTTGTTTTTTGGTATGTGCAGGTAATGATGCTTGAACTTAGGCCTGGATATTCGCCTTTTGCTTTTTTTGATCAGTGTTAGCATTCTGCTACTTGAGTCACAGCTCTGTTTCAGCTTTTTGGTGGCTAATTGAAGATAAGTCTTACAGAGGTTGGTTTCAAACTGATCCTCAAAACTCAGTCTCCTGAGTAGTATTATAGGCGTGAGCCACTGGCCCCCAGCTTCTTTTCTCTCCTCTGCTAGTGCCACTTCCCCTGATAAACCAGACCTGGGATAAGCAGATAGAATCTGAAGGTGACCATGCACTGTGGTATGGCAGCCAGTTTCTCTACCTGAGTGATTTCCCATTTTGTACTTGGCATAGTCTATCTCATTATAAATGTCTAGATGGGATGTCTTTGGAAATTAGTATATCTGTAGTCAGTCCTCTCATACTAGTTCTCACATTTCAGTTATAGTCAGCCATGGTCAAATATTAAGTGGACAACTTCAGTTTACAAGTTTCTAATTGTGCACCTTTCTCTGAGTAGTAGGAAAACAATGCTTTACGGTCCCCTTTCTGTCCTTGCCGAGACACAAACCAACCCTTTGTCCAGCATCCCTCTGCACTGTGAGCCATTTGACCTGTAAACATTTAGGAACCATCTCAGTTGCCCAGTCTGTCCCCATATGACAGTCTTTCAGTTGAGGGGTTCCACACAATCTTTAATTCCCACTACCGGTTGGTGGTCTTTGGAGCACAGGGCCACAGATAAGGAGGGGCTACCACATACAAGTAGGCGTCCCTGTCATCCTTCTCATTTGGGTCTGCGAATGTCCCTGCCTTGTACAAGTGTTCAGTGCCACTTAGAATAGAATCTGTACACAATAGCACTGAGAGCCAGTGTCAGTTGGAGATTGGCACTGACATAATTGTTGGTGGCATAGTCAATGTACCATTTGTCTAAGTTTTTTTTTTCTTCCCATAGTGACTCTTAAGTCTTCACCCCTTGGGAGCTAGTGTGAACCACAGTTACCTTTTGTTGTTGTGTGCTAGTGTGAACCACAGTTACCTTTTGTTGTTGTGTGCTAGTGTGAACCACAGTTACCTTTTGTTGTTGTGTGCTGTCTGTGCCAGTCACAGAGCTACAGGGGAGCAGACCTAGTTGGAATAATTAGATTGAGGAGTGAATGTCACACTTCTAATTTCATTTTCTTTTCAAGGGATTACCAGTGTCCATTTAATAAAATGAGATTAACCCTCTGCAGCAGAAGTATTTGAAAGCTGTCAGTCAGTATAATCTTGACAGTTCAAAAGAAGTGTTCTCAGCATGCTCACAAACTGTCCTGTTGGCTGGGCAGTGTAGGTTTGTGCTGGCACTATTGGAGAAAGAAAGCTTTGTGAACTCACCTATAATGGCAGAGTGATGCTGTGTAATTTGTTTTTAGAGTCTGTGATTGTAGCTCAGTGGTAGAGTGTTCCCCTAGCATTGTGCAAGACTCTGGGTTCTAGCCTCAACTCCCTTTTCTCCTCCTCCTCCTCCCTTCCCCCAAAGGAGTTGCCAGATAATACAATAGAATAATGCTTAAGAAGTTGGAGATCACATAAAACAGTTGGGAAAAAATTTTTCATGTCAGTATTGGTGCTTGAACTCAGGGTTTTAGACTCTTTTTTTTTTTTTTGCCAGTGCTGGGGCTTGAACTCAGGGCCTGAGCACTGCCCCTGAGCTTCTTTTGCTCAAGACTAGAGCACAACTTTTTGGCCAGAACCTAGTACTCTACCACTTGAGCCACACAGCTCTGCTTCTTGCCCTTTGCCCTTGGCTAAGAATCTCATAGACTTTCCTGTCCCAGCTCATTTCAAATTGCTATCCTCAGATCTCAACCTCCTGAGTAGCTGGGATTGTAAGTGTGAGCCACCAGTGCTCTGCAGAAGTTTGAGTTCGGTTTTGTTTGTTTTTTTTTTTAACAACTAATAAACTGTCCTGTATGTTCCACGCTACAGGAAACCTCGGATCAATTCTCAGCTGGTGGCACAACAAGTGGCACAACAGTATGCCACACCACCACCTCCGAAGAAGGAGAAGAAGGAGAAAGTGGAAAAGCAAGACCGAGAGAAACCTGAGAAAGACAAGGAAATCAGTCCTAGTGTTACCAAGAAAAACACCAACAAAAAAACAAAGTAAGTTCCTGGGTAACTAAATATAGTGAAGCACTTTGCATGTGAATCAAATATTAAGTGGCCTTTTTTTTGTCTCTTCTCCCCCCCCCCCCAAAGTCTGATATTCTGAAAGATCCTCCCAGCGAAGCTAACAGTATACAGTCTGCAAATGCTACAACAAAGACCAGTGAAACAAATCACACCTCAAGGTACTTCAGAACTGGAATGAAATACAAAAGGCTATTCTGAATTTCTTATACCTGTGGGTTTGAGGCTGAGGGAGGTGTGGAGGGAAGAGCTACGGGTGGGTATGATGGCCTTTTCTATCACTATGTGACTAAAACAAGACTTGAGAATATTAATAATTCTACATTCCAAAGTTTTAGCTGTCTGTTGAAATCAGCACACTTTTGAGGGCAGCTAGCATGTGTGATCGGCAGTTATATTTATTTTCACAGTGTCTTGAAGTCTTCCTTGTACTGATGATGCAACTTACTTGACTGACCCCCTTGGTGTTTCAGGCCCCGGCTGAAAAACGTGGACAGGAGCACTGCACAGCAGTTGGCAGTAACGGTGGGCAACGTCACCGTCATTATCACAGACTTTAAGGAAAAGACTCGCTCCTCCTCCACATCCTCATCCACAGTGACCTCCAGTGCAGGGTCAGAACAGCAGAACCAGAGCAGCTCGGGGTCAGAGAGCACAGACAAGGGCTCTTCTCGTTCCTCTACGCCAAAGGGCGACATGTCAGCAGTGAATGACGAATCGTTCTGAAATTGCACATGGAATTGTGAAAACTATGAATCAGGGTATGAAATTCGAATCCTCCACCTGCCCATGCTGCTTGCTGCCCTGGAGTCTTCTGTGGACATCGACCTTAGTGATGCTGCCAGGATGATTTCTGCTGGCCTTGGGCATCTGGCCACCAAGGAATTTCGCACCCTGATGATTACTCTTGACACTTTTATGTATTCCATTGTTTTATATGATTTTCCTAACAATCATTTATAATTGGATGTGCTCCTGAATCTACTTTTTATATAAAAAAAATCTGCTGTGCACAATTTTCCATGTACATTACAACTGGTTTTTGTTTGTGTTTTGTTGAGGGGCATTGGGGGGGAGGGAACTTTTATTTATTGTGTTCACAAACTCCATCCGTTCAGCATATCCTCTTAAGTTTAGTTCTTTCTTCAAGTTATACTATGTACTATCAGTTTTGATATAACTATATATAAATATAAAATTATATATATAAAAGGTTATTTGAAACCAATCCATGGCAACGCTGGTGCTTGATACACTGTGAAGTGAATACAACATTGAACAGCTAGCTCTGGGACAATGCCTTCTGTGAACGTGCTGATGTTGAATTCAAGTCAGTCTTACATGAAGGAGGTTCCAGCCCACATGGGAACCTGACTCTCATCTATCTAAAGAGTACTGGACGATATAAAATATATATTTTTAAAACAATGTGATCTCAAATTTAAAGACTGCTCCAGATAGCCTGCATTTGCAATGGATAACTGACAAATCACAAGTGGTTTAATTGGGGAGGGCTTTGATCATTAAGAAGTAACTCAGCTCCAGAATGCCAAGTATTCATGTAAATTATGGTTACATGTTACCATTGCTGTTCCTACATAAGTACTCATGAAAATACAGTGTTCTGTAACTTGAATCCAGTTTCCAGACCACTACTCATGTCTGAGGTAGATCTAGTAATTGTCTGTTTAGGATTACAACAGTCTGAAACTGCGTTTTGGTCTGTGCTGTCCACGGAAGCAGTCCCTGGCTCCCACTTGCCATGTGTCCTCAGGGTGGCGGTGTCTCTATAGACAGTTGGCATTTGTTGGCTTTGCATCCTTCAGACCCTTCCCCACCAAGGCAGTTGTGACGATTCTCCCTTTTTCTCTCTTAATACCTGCCATGGTTCACTTTCCTAAACAGAGCTTGTGGACCACACATCCAGTCCCCACAGGGAGCTCTTCAGTGTCTGGAGCCCTTTCTCAGTCCTTGGCTGTGGGAAGGACTGCAGGAGTGATGACATGGCTGCCTTGCGGGAAAAGCTTACTTACAGGGGATCTTTGTCTTCCTCGACAGACAGACAGACAGACACACAGCTTGAGTAAATGCTCTGTGAAGTTTATCTCCTTTCACTATCTTAACAAAAAATAAATAAATCACCACTAATACAATTCCACCCTTCCTCCTTTTAAAAAACAACAAAAAAACCTGTTTTCTTTTGCTTTTATTTGTATTTGGGGTCTATTGTATTTGACTCTTTACATCCACTGAGTTTGTAGTATATCACGGTCATTTCCAGCATGAGAACTTGGTGTTAACTGTCCTTTATCTAATCATACTTTAAGGACTCACGGGAGGGCATATAATGTAACAAAACACCGCATTTTGGTGTTAAGAACCTGAATTGCTTATTAATAACTGATTTCTGACTGTGGAGGCAACATGTTAAAAATTAACAGCTTGAATTGAGTAGCCAACAAGGAAAGGTTCCTTTCACATTTACATTAAAACTATTCTGTAATCACTAATGTACCATAACTTAAATTCTGTGCTCAAAGGTATAGATTATAAAGCAGTGCCATTTGTTGCTGTGATCCTATTCTCAAATGCATGGACAATGTTCCCCTCTTTTTAAAATAATGCTTGTATCTGGGATGCAAGCTGTGCTTATCTTTTTAAATACCTTTTTAAAGTATTTATTAATGAACCAAAGGAAATCAGGTGCTTTCTGTAAGCATCCGAATATATAATACATAGTGATTTGACTATGAATTTTAAATCCACATTTTAATATTAGTGTGATATTGCAAAGACATTCCTTCTAAAGTTTTAATATTCCTTTTATTAAGGGTCTCAGGGAGGGTAAATTAGTCAGCCATATTTATTTTCCAGAGGTGTAAGGAATTGCTAAGTTTTTAAATTAACTTTTTAAAAAAAAATTTAAAATGCCACCAAACTCATGGGTTGCACTGCTATTTGAACCAATAAGTGTTGGTATGCACTTTGTTCAGAAACACTGTGTACTTTTTCAAAATTAGTTTCATGTAAAGTGATTGGACCCCCTAGACTAGTGGAAAAAGCTGATTAACCAGCTACTCATAGGCTGCTAATTAATTCATTGCCAGTGTCTTGGGTTTTCAGTTTGCCTCCGTGAAAAAAAAAATCAAAAGAATGGGGAGAGGGGATAGCAGGGAGGGTTTCTTCAGAAGAGTGGGGTGGATTTGCCATTTGGGTAGAAGTTGCAGCTGAGTGGGGGTTATCTGTGTAATCAGGTGGTACAGGGCCAGCCCTTCCACTGCTCTCTGTGTGCTGTTGGGATGGAGAGGTGATAGGAACTTCAGGCTTTTTAATTTCTGCAATTGATGACATCCCTCAGGCATGTATTCTGGAAATGGAATTTTAACTTCCTGCATTTGCAGTTAGCGCTACAATTAGTAGGCAGTGCGTTAAAACACTAGTGTAGATTATGAAGATAAACATGAAGAGAGGACCAGAAATACTTGGTATTCAGTGGTACAGAAAGCAGGTTTGAAAAGAACACACACAAAAACAAAAAACAAAAGCACAGTGTTACGCTCAATTTTCCATTTGTTTTATTTAGTACACGTGTGATGTTTCACACTTGTATGCAGACACATACAGAGCTTACCTAGCTTGCTCTGCTTGAGTCATGCAGTTGGGGAAAATAAAGACATCTTAACACCCACAGAATATTTTAATCCAAACCTTTCCGTTTCAATATGGATATATAAAAACATTGGCAGAAGCTTCTGTGAGTTTAGTTCCTCTAAGACGTTTCACCTGCCTTATCAAGACCATGCTCAGTCTACTTTTTTAAGCTACCGTATCTTAAATTATTGAAAATTTATTAATTGCTGAATATATAATAACCTTTGCTTGTATGTAACCGGAAATGGTTTAAGAGCCAACATTTAGAGTATGACAATGGAGCTGAACAGTTTTAATGCGCAAGCAGTTCTGTTCTTGTGTAAGACTCGTAACCTTAATTTACTGTGTAAAGATGGTTACATTATTTCCTTAGCTTTGTTTGTTGGAGACAAATAGAGAATGCTTGTTAAGTATGTCAAAACATAATCTTATCTTGTGAATTTTCGTTAATGTATTATACGAGCTCTATTTTCCATTTGCCCAGAAAGACAGCTTGTATAACGCTTTTGGAAGTTTCTGCTCCGTAACGTCTTTAGAGCTGACAGTCGGTTAGGTTTGTTTTCTCTTCATGCTAAAGTGTCAGTTGGTGGTTTTGTGAACTGGTCAGAAATTCACAGGTCTTAAATGTTTTGGGGAAATTTATATTGGACACTGCTCTTTGTCTAGCAAATAAAAGATGTTAATATATTCCTGTTACTGGCATGTGCACGACTATGTTATTAGAAGCCACTTTATCATTTTCCTGCTTTAAATAGAAATGTCTATTTATGAATTCTGCTTGTAGTTTTTTCACAAATAAAATAGTAAAATTTACATTGGAAATCTGTATTTTCATGTTGTGTAGATCCCAGCCTTAAGGAAAAGTTCTTTTGCAAACCTGGATTTTCTTCACTTATGGAGTGTTTCCAGTGTTGATAGGAAGCCCATTTTCTTTTTGACAGCTTGAGTTGCTTATCGGAAGCTGGATGTCTTAGGATGGGCCTCAGAGGTGTAGCAGACTCTATGCCAAAGTGTGAAAGTCCCCGGGTGTGCAGCGATGTGAGGAGAAGAAGTGGAGATACATGCCTTTTGGTGTTAGAACTCTTGGGTTCTAGCCAGGAGCAGCTAGGTTAGCGAGGACTCGGGGGTACCACAGGGCAGTGCCACAAGGCTGCTATAGTGTGCCTGCTGTGAGGGTTCTAACACTTGGCACTGGCCACCCACTTTCTCTTCATGATTCAGTCCCTACCACTTTGTCTCAGCTCTGTACCTGAGCTTGAACCGAAGAGAGGAGAACGTGCACTTTACCTGAGAGTCTATCCTGTTAAAAAGATGTTTTCAGTATAGCGTTGCGACAAAAGTGTGGCTCCTGGAAGAGTGGAAGGGCAGGTTTTAAGCAGCTTTGCTGGTGTTTTCCTGCCGGTGATATATAGGCTCACAGGCTGCCTGTGACCATCCCTGCTGGTTGGAGGATCATTGTGGGGTGGTGTGCCCATTGCTGGTGAGTATGGAGCTTCTGCTCTCACAAGGTGTGGGTGTGCAAAGGTGTCTTAGAAAGAGGGCCGGCCTTCCAGTTGTACAGGTTGGAAGGGAAGGGAAGACTATTCTTAGTCCTTCCCTGAATTACGTCCTGGATGCCAGACCTGCAGACTGTCGGCTGAGGAACGTGCTAAGAGGCATAGACAAATGGCAGCTCTTTGGGCAAGGCAGAGAACTGAAGCAGTCCCCTGCCCCTGAGTCATCCTGTCCTGATCTCAGCAGCCCTCCCATGCCTGAAAATCAGCAGGGACAGGTCTAGATAACTGGAATGAGGTCTGATTTGCTAATCGCTTTAAGAAGCCAGCGCCAGACTTGGATGGCATTTGATTAGTGAATCCTGCCATGACATGTGTTCTAGAGAGAACCTAGCACAATCTGGAAATGAGAGGAACCTGCAGTGAAGGTAGACATGCAAGTATTTGGTTAGCCTGGTAAGAATCCCTCACTCAGAGCTTAATCAGAAGGTTGGGTGAAGACTCTGTAAGGCATCTAGGTCATAAGCCTGCAATTCTCCCTAATTATGCATCCAAGGCTCTCCTAAAAACAAGCCGTGAATGTGGAGGGAAGAACAAACTTGGCCTGGCCCTTTCCTCCCAGGCGCCAATAGCCATAATTAGCCCATGCTTCCTTGAGGTCCTGCCCAGGACAGAACCTACCCAAAGCAATGCCTTATGGACTCAGGGCATCCAGGGATCCAAGGAGACCAGCTGAGAGGCTTGGAGCCATAGGCAGGAAGAAACCAAAATATCTAGGCCCTCAGTCCAAACAGTTCAGCTTCCTGGAGGAAAGAGGAGTTCCCAGGCCTCCGCTGCCTGTGGAATAGACGAATGCTGAGTTTTGTCACCTTCAACTGCAAATAACAGCAAGACACTGCACAACTGAGACCTGGAAGCAACAAGGTAAGGACTTGGGGTTCAGAGTTGGGTGACACCCTGGCCTTCACTGGCCTGGGTGGCCTTGGTCAAGTCAGCCACCCAGACTCATTGTCCTTATCACCTGGATAGACCAGGAGTCTGGTCAGACTCCCCACCAAGTGTGGGACCATGCCCCAGAAGGTGGATGTGTTATTAATAACAGGAGCAAACTCTCAGAAGGCTTTGAGATCTGAGGATTTGTGTTCTGAGCCAGCCCAGGGGACAATCTCCAATTAACCAGCCAAAAAGGCAAAAGTGTGTGACTCAAGCAGTAGAGCTGGGAAATGGCAAATCAAGAGTGAGGCCCTGAGTTCAAGCCCCAGTAATAGCCCCAATAATAATAGCCCCAATAAATCATAAATAAGAAAAAAATAACTAGAACAGTTGTTTCACGATTGCTTAACCACCACCATGCTTTAAATAAATAAAAAAATTGGCATGCTATCGAGATGTCACGCCTGTAATCTTAGCAACTCAGGAGGCTGAGATCTAAGGACTACAGTTTGAAGCCAGCCCAGACAGGAAAGTCCATGGGATGCTTATCTCCAGTAAACTACTCAAAGTCAGAAGTGGAGCTGTGGCTCAAGTGGTAGAGCTCTAGCCTTGAGCAGAAGCAGCTCGGGGATAGCACCCACCCACGCCCTGAGTTCAAGCCCCAGGACTGGCATGCACATACACAAAGGAGGTATTAGGATTTAATCACAGGACTTAGCTTTCTAGGCTGGCACTCTACCACTTGAGCTACACGTCTAGCCTCGATTTCTGTTGTTTTTGTTTTGAACTCCTGGCTTGAAGGGAGGGGAAGGCTGTTTTGCCCTCCGCTGAATTCTGTCCTGGATGCCAGACCTGCAGACTGTGGGCTGAGGAACTTGTGAAGAGGCACAGCACCACTTCCGTTTTTCTGGTGGTTTATTGGAGATAAGAGTCTCACAGACTTTCCTGCCCTGGCTGGATTTGAACCGCAATCCTCAGATCTCAGCCTCCTGAGGAGCTAGGATGACAGACTTGAGCCACCGGCACCCTGCTGTTGGCATTATTTTTTATGTAGAGTCTTATGAACTTTTCTGGCCCAGGTAGCCTAGAACCTGGGCTCTTTTATTCTCAACCTCTGGAATAGCTAAGATAACAGGTATGAGCCACCAACACCCAGCTAATCTCTTAGTATTTTTCTTGGTCCAGAGACAGGAGCAGTTGCTAAAAAGCCACATGTAAGTAAAAAGTCCAGTGATACTTTTGACAGTTGCTTGGTATGTCTCTGTCTACAGTGTTAAAAATGAGTATGACTTTGCTTTTCATTGTTAAAAGTCTATTTTTAATGTTGTCGTTTGTATTGTTGTTGTACTCTCTCTTGGCTCTCATTCATGGCTGGCACTCAACCACTTGAGTTACACTTCCATTTCCAGCTCTTCGCTGGTTAATTTCATAAAAGGCTAGGATTTGTTTGCCCAGGCTGACTTGGAATCTCAGATCTCAGCCTCCTCAGTAGCTAGGATGACAGTAGGTACTAGTCACCAACATCCAGAATTTTATACGTTTTAAAATTGTTGAACAATGTTGCAAAAATAATACTTGCATAAAAAATCATATAAAATTGAAATGTCAAGTGTCTACAAATAAAGTTTTATTGGAACACAGGGATCATTCACATATCAAAAACTCAGAGAAGTCCTGCGGGAAAGAGACTTATTTAACATTCTTCACTCAGGTATTTTTTTTGGGGGGGGGTCCGGTCGTGGGGCCTGAACTCTGGGCCTGGGCACTGTCCCTCAGCTCTTCAGGCTAGCGCTCTACCACTTGAGCCACGGCGCCACTTCCGGCTTTTTTCTTTTTGCTTATGTGGTGCTGAGGAATCGAACCCAGGGCCTCCAGCATGCAAGGCAAGCGCTCTACCACTGAGCCACCTTTCCAGCCCCTCAGGTATGTTTTAAAACAATGGAGAAGGGTATATTGTGGGGGGCGGGCGGTGGGTCAAAATGAAACTCCATGTACAACTGTTTGATGCCAATAAAAATTATTTTTCTCAACAAAAGGAACCCAAGTGTGTGCGGCTCACACCGTTAATTCTAGCTACTCAGGAAGCTGAGATCTGAGGATTGAGGTTCAAAGCCACTGGGGACAGGAAAGTCTGAGATTCTTTATCTCCAAATAACCACTAGAAAACCGAAATGGCACTGTGGCTCAAAGTGGTACAGCTGTTAGCCTTGAGTGAAAAAGCTCAGAGATAGCACCCAGGCCTGGAGTTCAAGCCCTACTCAGGACTGACCAAAAAAAAGAAAGAAAATATTTCATCAAAACTAGCAACTGGGGAAGACTTTGGAAAACTAAGATGATTTGATTGAACCTCTTTTCTCTGTGGAATGCGAGGTAGATATAAGGGTGTGTGGGGTGTGTGTGTGTGTGTTTGCCAGTACTGGGGCTTGAATTCAGGGCTCTGGGTACACTGTTGCTTAGCTTTTTTGTTCAAGGCACAACTTCCAGTGTTTTGGTAGTGAATTGGAGATAAGGGTCTCATAGCCTTTCCTGCCAGGGCTGGCTTCGAACCCCCATCCTCAGATCTTAACCTCCTGAGTAGCTAGGATTACAGGTGTGAGCCACAGGCACTTGGCAATGTCAGGCTTCTTGAGTTGAGTTCCTGCCTTTGGGTAGAATGATGTTGGTTCCCTGGGCACCGGGTGACGGGCAACCTGCTATTTCCCACCCTGGGATCGCACTGAGGTCCACTTGCTTGCGGAGTGCTCATTTCACGTTTGAGTGCCCTGCAGTGAGGGACACTCCAGCGCCCTCTACAGAAGGGGGAGGCTTTGCATCCTGCCTTACGGGCTGGGAAAAAGAAGGCAGCCCAGACGTGTGCCCCCCCCCCCCGCCCCTCGCCAACCCTCCACTCCCACGCTGTGGGCTCTGGCTGTCATTTTCCTGCAGAGATCTAACAGCCTGGCCGCTGACTGTCATGGAAAGCACTCTCCCTCCTGTCCTGCTGCTGCTTAAGTGAGTCCTTCTGGAGTCCCTGGACATCAGAGGCCTTGCTTCCTGACAGCAGGCCAGACGCTGCCCGGCCCTGACCATCCACTTCAGCAGCTGCAAACATCCTTGGTTGCGTTGATACGTGAAAACTACTTCATAGACTCAGATTTTCGTGACCCCGGCTCTAACTCCCTCCCCTTGTCCCCCAGAAAGGTGGCAGGCCATGTGGCATGCATCACACAGCCACAGAAGATAGCCACGCCCCAGGGCCTCTGCTTCTGCTTCACTGCACCTGACTTAGAAGCCTGTGTGGTATTCCTTCCTTCCCTGTCCTGGCTGCTGGGCACCTGGCTTGGGCAGTGGGGGATGGGATGGGAGGGAGGAAATGCACTGCTGCCAAGTCTGGAGGAAGGGGAGTGG